ATGATGGTGATGGTGATGGTGATCGTGATCGTGATGATGATGATGATGGTGATGGTGATCGTGATCGTGATGGTGATGGCGATGGTGATGGTGATGGTGATGGTGATGATGATGGTGATGGTGATGCTGATGATGATGCTGATGCTGATGCTGATGCTGATGGTGGTGATGATGGTAATGATATTTATAATGATTGTGATGGTGATGATGATGGTGATGGTCATGGTCATAGTGATGGTGATGGTGATGGTGACGTTGATAGTGATGATGATGACGATGGTGATGGTGATGGTGATGGTGATGGTGATGGTGGTGATGGTGATGGTGATGGTGATGGTGATGGTGATGGCGATGGTGATGGTGATGGCGATGGTAATGGTGATGATGGTGATGGTGACGGTGATGGTGATGGTGATGGTGGTGGTGATGGTGATGGTGATGGTGATGGTGATGGTGATGGTGATGGTGATAGTGATGATGATGGTGATGGTGATGCTGATGATGATGGTGATGGTGATATAGTTGGAGATGGTGATGGTGATAGTGATGGTGATAGTGATGGTGATGGTGATGGTGATGGTGATAGTGATGATGGTGGTGATGGTGATGGTAATGGTGATGGTGATGGTGATAGTGATGATGATGATGATGGTGATGGTGATGGTGATGATGATGGTGATGGTGATGGTCATGATGCTGATGATGATGATGGGGATGATGATGATGGTGATGGTGATGATGCTGGTGATGGTGATGGTGATAGTGATGGTGATGGTGTTGGTGATGGTGAGTGATGATGATGATGGTGATGGTGATGATGATGATGATGGTGATGATGATGGTGATGGTGATGGTAATGGTGATGATGCTTCTGATGATGATGATGCTCATGATGACGGTGGTGATGGTGAAGATGCTGCTGATCATGATGAGGATGGTGATGGTCATGGTGATAGTGATGATGATGATGGTGGTAATGACGATGATGATGATGATGCTGCTGATGATGATGATGATGGTGATGGTGATGGTGATGATGATGGTGATGGTGCTAGTGACAATGATAATGATTGTGATTGTGATGGTGTTGGTGATAGTGATGGTGATGGTGATGGTGATGGTGGTGATGCTGATGACGACGATGGCGATGATGATCATGATGATGATGGTGATGGTGATGGTGATGGTTATAGTGGTGATGATGATGATGATGCTGCTGATGATGATGATGCTGCTGATGATGATGACGATGGTGATGGTGATGGTGATGATGATGGTGATGGTGATAGGTGTGATGATGATGCTGCTGATGATGATGGTGATGGTGATGATGATGCTGCTGCTGATGATGATGGTGTGGTGGTTTGATAGTGATGGTGATGCTGATGGTGATAGTGATGATGATGAAGGTGATGGTGATGGTGATGGTGATGGTGATGGTGATAGTGATGATAATGATGCTGCTGATGATGATGATGTTGACCGTGATGGTGGTGATGATGATGATGATGATTGTGATGGTGATGATGTTGCTCATCATGATGATGATGATGATGATGATGATGATGATGATGATGATGATGATGATGGTGATGGTGATGGTGATGGTGATGGTGATGATGATGGTGATGGTGATGGTGATTATGATGATGGTGATAGTGATGATGATGATGGTGATGGTGATGGGTATGGTGATGATGATGGTGATGATGATGCTGATGATGATGGTGACGATGATGATGATGATGACGATGATGATGACGATGACGATGACGATGACGATGACAATGATGGTGATGATGATGATGAGTGGTGGTGATGATGGTGATGATGATGGTGATGATGATGGTGATGGTGATGGTGATGGTGATGAAGATGATGTTGGCGATTATGATGCTGGTGCTGGTGCTGGTGATGATGATGATGATCATGATGATGATGACGATGAGGAGGAGGAGGAGGAGGAGATACATCTGTTCCAGAGCGTCCCAGAAGGCTCTGAGGAGGCCGCGACGCCCGATACATCCTCCAGACCGCCAGATCTCAGAGATTCTCGACTTGCCCTCACCCGATGTAGTCCTCGTCCTGGTTTCATCCTAGGGATCCTCCAAAGAGTCAGCCTCCTTCCGCTGCGTGGCGGAGGGGCGGGCCTCCCGGAGCATGTTGGAGGAGAAGCCGCTGTCCTGGGTCTCGTCGGCCTCTCGCGCGGGGTCGTTGCCGCAGTCGTTCTTCGAGGTGTCGGCAGGCAGTGTCGGCGGGGGCAGCAGCGGCGGGGGGGTCGCCTCCTCCTCCTCCTCCTCCTCCTTCTCCTCCTCCTCCTCCTTCTCCTCCTCCTTGTCCTGGTGGTTTGTCCCCCCTGCGGGGGGAGGGGGCCGGGGGGAGGGGGGCGGGCGCGGGCACTCGCCAAAGCCATCGGCCGACCTCCACCGCTGCTGGGTCTCGGGTGATGAGAAGCAGGCAGGTAGGCGCACCGATCCTGGCCGGGATCCCCGCCTGGGCCCCGGATGGACCCGTCCAGGATCGGTGCCTGTGCAGAGGAGGAGAGACCTCAGAGGGGGAGCAGGCAGACGGGGGCTCAAGGCTTCCCGCTCTCTCGTCTGTCTCTACTTTCCCCCCACCTGTCTCGCATCCTGTACCTCACACAGGCATGTCCCGAGTTGGCCCGCGTTTTTCGCTTTTTCATCGGAGCGTTCTCGGCCTTTCAAATATGGTGTTCCCGCGGCGCACTTCTCCCTCCTCTCTGGCGGTGCTGTGGTTGGCATTCGGGTGGGGGGCGCCGAGCGCGACTGGGATCGCGGCCCCAGAGGGGGCCCCGGGCCATCGTGCTACAACCGCCCGTGCCGCTCCAGGCGGCGCCGACGTCGAGCAGTTCTTCCCGCGCGCTGCGCGCGCTCGCGCGCGCTCGCGCACGCTCACGCGTTGTGCCGTAGGCCTGGAGGCGGCACGCTGGGGGCGGCGGCGGTGGGAGATGCCAAGAAGGCTTCAGACCCTGCGGGATTCCTTGTCCGATGAGGGCGGCGGTGATGTCCATGGCCACTCCACGATGGGAGCTCCACCGGCTTCCAGGCCCTGGGTTCCTTGTACAGTGGCTCCTCATCCACGGCCCTCACCGTAGCCAGTGGGTGCCCAGTTCCGAGAAGAGTGCCCAGGGAGGCTGGATTTCTGGTAAGACGAATGTGCGCGGCGGTGAGGCGAGAGCGCCCACGTGCTGATGTTGACACGGGCTTGTGTTCCGACCGCGTACCGGTTGGATTGTCTTTGTCGATCGCGCGCGGCGTTCACGCGAGAGCCACATGCTAAAAATGATTCGCCCTCCACGCATGCAATCTCAGGACATTGAAAACCATGAAATTACTCCGACTTTAGGACACCACATGAGAATATATTCAGCTTGTCCCTCGCCCTTTTCTTCTTCGACTGGCGGAGGCTTTCCTTCCGCCCTCTGCGTCCTCCTCCTCCTCCTTCTCAGCCTTCCCTCCCTCCTGCTCATTATCGTCCTACTCGTTGCGTTTCCTATCCTCTTGCTCTTCCGCCTCTTTCTGTTTGTAGCCATGTCGGCACCGCCCGCCAGTCGATGCGCCTTTTTCCCCTGTCTCCTCTTTCTCTCCTGTCTGTAGCCATTTTTGCCGAACCGCCCCGCTATTTCGGAGGCGTTGCTGTCCCCTTCCGCTGAAGCGGCGCCGCTTGCGTCGCATCTGTCGCCCCCCTGCAGTCGGCCGGGCGTCGGCGCCAATCACCGGCGCCGCCGAGGCGTGTTTCAATTTGGCGGGCGCCGCCCCCCCCCCCCGCGATTTGCCCGAGCAGAGGAACCAGTTTTTTATCACGCGCCCCGACTGTTTTTGTCCAGCACAAGATGACACGAATTGTCCCCGTCCTCTCGCCGCGGGTCGCCCCCATTCGCTTCCCCTGCTACGCGATGGTCACGCCCGCTTTCGGTCCAACTCCGCATTCGACTGGTGCTCTTTCCGCGTGCCTGCCAGTTGCTTGTAGGATTGTCCGGGCCATTGAACTGACCGTTGTCTTGTCTCTTCGTCGTAGGTCGCCCCCATTCGGCTTCCCAGTTCTGGCGCCGCCCCCTCGCCTTGCACACGATTCTGTACAGTCTGAGTGCTGTGCTTCTTTGCGTGCCGATTTTCGCCTTCAGTCGGGTTGTCTTCTGCTTCTGAGCGACCGACTCCTTGTTTTGTTGCCCCCGTCGTCGCGTGTCGCCCCGAATCGACTTCGTGAGTTTGCGGGCCTCCCCCATGGCCCTCTCCACTCAGCCTTGCCATTTTTGCGCATTTCACGCCAGCACTCGAGCCTTTCATCGTACAGTCGTTCCCCCGCTGTGGTGGTACGTTCCCACTGTCTGTTTGTTTGAATGTCGCAGGTTATGGCCATAGTCGCCCGTCTGTGTGCATCGACCTCGTAAAGCGCGCCCACCCTTCTTCATTCGGGTAGGGGCCGTCAGCCTGCACCCTCCCCCCTTTCGATACCTCTTCAGCGCTGTGCCTTTTGCCGCTTAGGAGAGACATGTTGCGTCAGCCGCATCGCTGCGTTATTTAATCGATGCAGGTCTAGCCTTCCGACTTGCATTTTTCCAGTATCGGCCGGAAGTCGGGGTCAGAGCTGTCGATTTGTCTGTTTGTTCAAAGTTGTCTTCCAGTTAGGGGTTTGGTGTCCCCCCGCTCCCCCGCTTGGTCGCCCCCGTTCGACTCCTCTATGATTCGTTTTGTTTTGATTCCAGGTATGGTCGGGCGTGAGCGCATGCACAATCCCCGCGTGGTTCCGTCCGCCACCCACCCTGCCCAGCAACCCGGCCGAAATAGAGCACAGCACCATGTTCATGCCACCGTTCACCGACGACCTCCTCGTTCCTGCCTCCCTCTTCCTTCCGCCTTTTCCGTTCATCTCTTTCCCTCCCTCACACCCTCCATTCCGGCCTCCCGCCTCCCCACCTCCCCCTCCCCTCCCCTCAATCCCCCCCCCCGCCGTCCCTCCACGCACCCACCGCCGCACAGGAGGGGCTCGAGGGGCCCAGATGGACCGTGCGGGTCTTCTCGGACACGCCCAGCGTGCCGCCCGCCCGCGAGGCAGTCCGGCTGTTCCACGAGGCTGGCCCCCTGCGGTGCGCGTCTGGACGAGCAGCGGGGTCGGTCAGATGTTTCAGTTCCGGAGGGGGAGCTGTTTGGGCGGTTTGAGGCGCCTTTTAAGCTTCCTGTCAGGGGGGGCAGGAGGAGGAGGAGGAACAGGAGGAGGAGTAGGAGGGCCATTGTAAACCCAAGACTCATCAACGATATTGCAATAAACCCTCCCTCCAAGCTCCCTCTCCATAGGCTCCCACTTGTATTCATTTTCACTTGGGAGATGCCCCGTTGGGAGAGAACCGTTTAGAAATCCGACATGATGCCAGAATACCAGTCCTGGGACTTCGACGCCGCGAATCACCGTTACTGTTGCGTCTTGACGATCCTGAATCGTGCCAAAACACAATTCTTGGGAATTCAATTCCGCTAATCAACGTGGAATGTTGCGCCCAGACATTCCGACATCGTCCTAAAACACCACTCCGGGGCGTTAACCACGAAAATCCATGAAGCCGCTGCAAATTCTTAAGACGAATGCACGCGGCGCTAGGGCGAGAGCCACAGCTTGGAAACGAACCGCCCTCCATCCGTGAACCTCTTTCAAAATCTTAAGACGAATGTGCGCGGCGCCAATGCAAGAGCCACATCTTAAACAAAAATCGCCCTCCATCTGTGAAGCCTTGCAACCTTGTTAAACCAGTATGCGCAGCGCAAAGGCCAGAATCACATGTTGGAAAGGAACTGCCCTTCATCCGCGAAGTTTCTGCACTTTTTGAAGACGAATGCGCGCAGCGCAAATGCGAGAGCCACACTTAAAAAACGGACCGCACTCCATCCGCGAAGCTTCTGCATTTGTTTGAAGACGAATGTGCGCAGCGCTCAGGCGAGAGCCACATTCTCAAAACGGACCTCCATCTTTGAGAGTGTTGCAAATTTCAAGTTTCAGGATCATTGGTTGTGAGGACGTCTCAGGCGAAACGCCTGGCCTGCCCTTTCGACCGGCTTCGGGGTGCGACAGGGAGGAGCGCCTTTGCGCGCTTGTTGTCGCAAGAATCTTTTGCAAAAAAGGACGAAGTGCACACGCGCGCGTCGTCGCGCGCGCATGCCGGAATTTCTCAAAAACCTTTGGCGTCGTAAGAATTTTAAAAAGCGAGTGTCCCGAAAAAAATGTGTACACAAAATGTTCTTGCACCATCAATTTTCATGGAAGCTTGCGCGCGCTCTTGCGAATTCTTACGAAAGCCATAGGTCGATTGCCACCGAATTCTGCCAAAGGGGCCGCTCGCGCCGCATGTCGAACTCATCCGAACGCCCTTTGCGCGCGTGCTGGGGGGCACGATCCGTGCCAAATAAAACCATGCGGGCCACTCGCGCGCGTCAGCCACGCGCGCATGTCGAACTCCTTCCAAAACCCTTCATCATCGACGCGAGGACATTGTCATCGTTATCGGCAGGCGTGATCAACATCGGCGCCGTCATTGGCCTTGCCGCCGTCATCGCCACCATCGCCACAATCATCGCTACTCCCATCATCGCGTCTACTGGTCGGCGTCGCCATGACACCGCGCCCGCCCAAGCCACCGACTCGCAGTGAAGTGCCCGCTTGGAAGCGCCAAGCGGTCAGCGCCACCGCGGCCGCGTCGGACGCGCCGCACTAGCTGGCCGCTGCGCGCGCAAGCATGCGCGGGCTAGCGCGGCCGCAGAGATGCACCAGCCAACGCCAAGCACTCATCACAATCGCCGCCGCATGGGTTTTGCAAACCATGTTGCGGGTTGGGGGTTGGGATGATTGCGCGAGCATTGGCCTTGACGACTCACTGCGAGCATTGGTGAGTTGCACCACATAGATCGCCCCACATACATTGCCCCACATATACTGCAGCACATTGATTTCACGGTTTGCGTTTCGCGCCAACACGGCGCGTTTTGACCGTCCAGAACAGACATTGCATTTCAGAGGTTGCAGGTCCTAGCTTGCACCACCGATCTTGCACAGCACGTATTGCACACCACCCATTGCACCACCCAGACTGCACTACACCTATTGCACAGCATGGATACCACCGCATAGATTGCACAACATAGGTTTCACAACATGTACTGTTTGAAACACATGGTTCGGGGCCCACGCTGGCCAGCAGAGGGAACTACACGGAAAGGGCGGAACTCTCTCGGGACGAGGAGGGGGAGGAGAAGGAGGAACCGAATTGACCCATGATGTGTCAACAATGCGGCAGCACACACACTCCAGGGCCAAGCCCCCTCCCCAGAAGTCCCACAGGTATGTCCTCCACTGCGGGAAACGCCCCCGTTGACAGACAAACGTCCGTCTTGGAAGAGGGCAACCTTACATCCAGCCTTTAGTGATGCAAGAGAGACGCCGTGTCATCGATCGCTACGGGTTGGAAAACAGGACGTGCCCTCCGCCCGTGCGGGCGCTGCGCAGTTCCAAAGCCGTTATGTACAAGGTTGGGGAAGTCCCAATGGGGAGCCCCGTTCAAGACAACAACCAGCCAAAACTGCATCCTATTCGTGTAATCGTTGCGGGAGCCCCCGTCTGAAAAGAAACCGCCTTCCAACCGCGCAAGTGCTGCAAATATTTAAAACGAGCGAGCGCGGCGCCAAGTCACGAGCCCCATGTTGATAACGGACCGCCCCCCCACGTGTGCGATTGTTGGAAACCAGTGAGACGAGCACGGGCGGGGCGCAGGGAGAGGCCCATGTTGAAAACCGCGTGTCAGGCGGCCGCGTAGTTGCTGGAAGCATGAAGTTTCGATTTCGCAATGGGCAATGTAACATCAGGCGAAACGCCAGGCCCGCCCGAGCGAGACACCCGGTAGTGTGACAGGGAGGAGTTATCGATCGAAGACGTTTACGGCGAATCATTGTCGCCCCTAGCTTTTTAGGATACGCCTATGTGGCCGAACGTTGCGGCCAGAGCTCGCCCAAGTTATAGGACTATGTGTTCCCCCAGCCGTTGATGAAACCTTTCGGGAAACACGTTGGGTGGGGAAAGGGAGGAAGAGGAGGAGGAGGAGGAGAAGGAGGAGAGGAAGGAGAAGGAGAACGAGGGAGGAGAAGGAGGAGGAGGAGGAGGCCTCTTGTTTCATTCCTGTGGCCTCCTGGGAGCTTCCTGGAGATCCTTGGAGGCCTCTTGAGGGGGGGGGGGCGCCTTGGGCCTATTGGGGGTTTCTTGGGGGCCTCTTTGGCCGTCGGAGGGCGTTCCTGGCCCGTCTGAGGCCGTGGGAAGCCGTCTTGGGGGCCTCTCTGAACAGACTTGGGGCCATCTTGGGGTGACTCAGGGCCGCATTGGATGCCATATTTGGCGTCTTGGAGGCTTCTTGGGCCATCGTGGAGGCCTCTTGGGCCGTTATGGTGCCATCTTGGAGTCCTCTTGGAGCGATCTTCGGAGGCTCTGTGACTGTCTTGGGCCGTCGGAAAACCGAAAGAATCAAATACCAAAATCTCTCAAAAGCCCCAAGAACGTAAATGGCTTTGGCCTCTTCGGGCTTTCCTGAGGACCTCTTGGAGTCCTCTTGGGCCGTCTTGCAGGACCACTTTGAGGCCGTCTTGGGGCGTCTTGGGTACATTTTGGGCCGTCGTGGGTTCATCTTGGGGCAATCTTGGGCTCTCTTGGGGCCATCTTGGCCGTCTTGGCGGCATCTTGAAGACCATCGTGGGCCGTCTTGGGACCATCTTGGGAGGATTATTTCTGCACGTTGGGGTGCCTGTGCGTCTTTTCAGGTGGCCCGCGGGATCGGCCGAAGCCCCGCGAGGAGTTCTGAAAAGAAACAACAACAACAACAACAACAACAACAACAACAACAACAACAACAACAACAGCAGCAGCAGCAACAACAACAACAACAGCAGCAGGAGCAGCAGCAACAACAACCACAACCACAACAACAACAACAACAACCAAAAGTTCAGCACGCCAGGCACTTGTGTGACAGAACAACAACGGGGGGGCGGTGGATCGAATGGCTTTCGGCCCATCCCGCCACCGTGCTTGTGTTGTGCGTCAGAGTCCTCAGGGGTGCTTCTTGTTCTCTCTTCGGAGTGCTCTCGGGGGCCTCCTGGGGCCAGTTTTGAGGCCTTTGGGGGGCCCCTGTGGGGGCCTCTTCGGAGACTCTTAGAGGCCGGCTTGGAGGCCTCTTGGGGGCCTCGTGGGCTGTCTTGGGCCATCATGAGGTCGGCGTGGGGCGCCTCGACTACATCTTGAGCCGTCTTGGGTGCATCTTCGAGCCTTACTTGGTGTTCTTTGGGCCATCTTGGCCGCCGTCTTGCAAGCCATCTTGAAGACCATATTGGCCCGTCTTGGAGGCCATTTTGTGCCGTCTTGCAGGTCATCTTGCGCGTCTTGGAGGCCTCTTGGGCCGTCTTGGGGCCCTCGTCGGTGGCCAGAAAAAAAGAGTCCACATCAATGGCACGAATATTTTATCACGTGAAGTTGAGTAACATCTTGCATAACGTATGTCCCCCTCCCCCTCCCCGCCAAGCCCAAAGTTGAAGTGTCCACAGTTTGTCCTCCGCGCGTTGCCTCGCGTACGCCGCCGTCAACCTTGGGTTCGGGGGTAAGGGGGCTGCCGATTAGTTGGATGCACTTCGCCGTATCGACGCTTTGGCGCGATGGGCGTAGACACCTTTTGTCCACACGATTGGGGCCGTCTTGGGAACCCAGTGGGCCGTTACGGGGCCAGTTTGGATGCCTCTTGGGCGATTTTGGGGCGATCTTCGGGGGCTCTTTGACGGTCTCGGGCCGTCGGAAATCGAAAAGAAGCAAATGCCAAAATCCTTCAAAAACCCAAGGAACACAAATGGTGTTGGCCTCTTCGGGCTTTCACTGGGCACACGTGGAAGAGCTTAAGGTTCACCTGGATGAACTCCAGGCGGAGTGCGACAAGCTCGCCGCATCGGTTCGCCCTACTGCCACGGCACCCGACCCCAAGCCCACGTTGTCCCTCTCCGCTCTTTTGGAGGATAAGCTCGACGGTTTCATCATTGACTTCGGAGATGTCTTCGCCATGGGCGGGGAGGAGGGTCTTGGGGAGGACGAACTCCGCCAGGCCGAGGAGCGCCGCGAGGCTCTCATCAAGGGCCTCCAGGACGGCGCTAAGAAGCTATTTGCTGATGCTGCTGCCAAGGCTAAGAAAGCTCGAGCGGCTCACCAGCAACAGATGGAACGTCTCGCTGCCAAACGCCGTCGTGCAGATGATGAGTCGACTGCCACTCCACTAGGAGCTGATGATGAGGCACAGGCCGCTCGTGGCTCACAAGACGCTGCTGATTCAAGCTCCTCAGCGGCAGCGACTCCTTCAGCCACCGCAGCTTTCGAGCAGGAGAAAGCCCGCAGGCAGCAGCAGCATAAGGAGAAGTCAAGCTCCTGACGGCCCAGTCAGGATCTCCACTCGCAGACGACGACCTGGTGCTGGTGGGCAATTCACTGCGACTTACAATGGTAAGCAGCATCCAGACTACTTTCCAGAGCTGTTCAAATCATCCGACAAGTCTTCTCTTTCTATTCCAGTGGTTGGGCCTCTCTATTCGGATCAGGAGAAGACTTGGCACTTATACTTTCGAAATCTTTCTACTTGGGGGCCCTCTGCCAAAGGCCTCATTGACCAGCGCCAGTATGATGCAATCCTCTTGGTGGAGACACATGCTGGCCCTGAACATTCAGATGACCTTTTGCGGCACTGGAGCAAGAACGGCTACAAAGCGGTTTGTACCCCTGCTCGGCCCACAGACAGAACAGCTCTCTCTGGAGGTGCAGTGATTGGGTTCAAGAACACATTCATGACTTCCTCGTTCAGGCACCTGGCCCTGAATCAGGCCCAGCAGGTTGGCATGCGGGACCTCTCTTCTACCAAGGGAAACATCGATTTCTTTGACTTTGTCCCTGTGGTCTGGCACATCCAGGGGGTCTCCCTCTGTTTGGTCTCCGCATACTTGACTTCCAGCATGGGCCTGAAAGGGGTAACCTGCAGAAGCTGGCCATCCTCGGGAGTTTCATCAAAAGTCTGGACATCCCGTGGGCCATTTTCGCTGATTGGAACGTTCCTCCGTCTACGCTCATGCAGTCGGGCTGGCCCACGATGCTGGGAGGTGTCCCCGTCATTCCCACGGACGTGGACTACACTTGCACTATTGGGTCAGGTGCGATGTTGGACTATGGCATTGTCTCCCCCCACGCTCGGCTGCTTATTTCCAGCTTGACCGCTGACACGCCGGTGGTGGTGGCCCGCAATTCTGTTGCAGGCAAAGCCCACTTCGGCCTCAAGATTGATATTCGTGCGCGCGCGGCACTGGCTCAAGCCCTTTTGCATTCTCCCCCGCAGCCTTTTACCCATCAGCCGCTGCCTTCCAAGGCAGCCGACCCGCACAGCAAGCGTTCCAGGAGAACCGCAGCTGGGACCAGAAGTTCGCAGAGGAGGGCTGCTGTCGAGGTTGAGCTGCCTGCCAGAGCCGCCCCCCCTGGTTTGCCACCTCCGAGATTGACCTTTGCTGACCTGGAGGAAGAGTCCTCCGCCAATGAGTACGAGGAGGACCTCCCCCCTGAGATCCAGCAGGTCGCGATGGAGGAGCCGCTTGATGCCCCGACGGCAGACGGAGAAGGGTCTGCCCCTCCCGAGGGGCCCTTGGAGGAAACCTCTCTCCTGGATGGGTTCGACCAAGCTCAAAGACGCCCTCGGGACGAGATTTGGAATGAAATCTTCTATTCGAGAGATTTGGTTCCTGGTCAGCCTGCGGATTTCATCTCCAGATCTTTGGCTTACGAAGTTTCGTCTTCTGATGCACTACATATGGGGCAGCAGCACGGACGCTGGGTTTCGGCTCTGGAAAGTTTCTTTATTCAGACACTCGCGATCCCACCACATTCGGCCAGAGCTCACGTGGGACGGGCTGAGGCTCGGCGTTTCCGCGTGGCGCCCATCAAGGCCCCTAGGCAATACGCCGTGCAGGTGGATCCAGCGACAAAGTGGCGGGCTATTCTCCTGGCGCTCTTCGAGGATTTGCTCAGGAAGCATGCAGATTCCTCCAAGACCACTTTAATTCAGTCCCGCATCAAGGGCCTCGCCCTCACTACGCCCACCTCAGCTTCGCCCCCACTCACGGCCGCCGCTCGTCGGAAGTGGACCTCCACACTTCACCGAGTTCATGAGTGCAGCTTGCTTCAGCTTGAGGAATTAAAGACCACGGTGGCCAACAATGCTGTCCGCGCTCAACGTTTCTCCGCATCAGCTTCAAGACGTGGTTTTGATTCCTGGATTTTGACTATGTCTTCCACCACCCCAGGCAAGCTCTACGATTTCATCCGTCACCCTGCTGTCACCCTGAATGAGATTCGGGCGGTTCAGGGAACCTTGTCAACTCCTCTTGACATCATGGCATCTAAGAAGCAGTGGCGGGAGAAGGTTTGGTCCAGCCGACGTTTCGACAAGGCGAAGATCCTAATGGCGCATGATAAGGTGCGTCAGAAGGCAAAGGACACCGACCTAGACCCGATCACTGTTGTTCAGTTTAGAACCATATTGCAGAACACTTCACCCAAGAAGGCCAAGGGTTGCGAGGCTCTCAGCATCACTGACTTGCGCCGCTTGCCCGACTCCGCCATCCAGGACTTGATTGAGATCTACCATCAGGTGGAGCGATGTGTCTCATGGCCATGGCAGCTGCTCACTGTTTCCATCAGCTTGCTTCCCAAGTCGGCTGACGATGACAGGGCGATCGGAGTTGCATCACTCTTGGTCCGAATCTGGGGCGCCATCAGGAGCCCGTTGGATCGAGAATGGTGCCGACAAGCAGCTGGCCACTGGGATGGGGTCATCGCTGGGTCGTCATCTCTCCGCGCTGTCCTGCTTCGAAATTTTGGTGACGAGGCAGTCAGGATGTCCCCACTCAAAGATCTTGTTCACATTGAAGTTCGTTGGGACCTCAAGGCTTTCTACGATTCTTTGGACTGGATTGCTCTAATCAATACGGCAGAGGATAAGAGTTTTCCTCCGCATACACTGGCTCTTACTATGCAGCAGTGTTTCGCCCCCAAGAGACTTAAAGAATCTGGACATTTCTCGCAGCCCATCTTACCCCAACGGGCCATGGTCGCTGGGCTGCGCTCCGCGGTGGATCTCTCACGTTGCATTCTCTATCGGACGTTGGAACGCATGTGTGAAGCGCATCGCTCGGTCACTGTGAGATCTTGGGTGGACGACGTCAACGCACGTATAGCCGCCCCCAAGAAGTTTGCAGTTGCTCAGTTAACGAAGATTGCCACCATCCTCCGTGATGACTGCAAGGAGTTAGACCTCGTCATCTCTCCGAAGTCTACTATTCTCAGCTCCTCGCCACTGGCAGGCATGGCTTTGGAGTCCAATGTGAAGCAGCTGGGGCTCATTGTACCTTTTAATGATCGAGTGGTGGTCCTGGGCTTCGATCGAGGTAACATCCGCATGGGGCAGACCAAGCACAAGAAGCGAGCCGACAAGGCGAAGTTCAGGTTTCATCCAATTGCCTGTGTTGGAAGGAGTACCCTTGCCCACCGCCGCATTGGGCTTCGTCTTGCCACCACTGCCGCTATCCCTTGCGTCTCTTATGCTGGCAAGCTCTACGGTACTCCACCTTCGGCCCTCACAAGCTGGCGCAGAGCCCTTGGTCGCATCCCGCGCAAGGGGAGCACCCAGCGCTCGCTCACCACGCAGCTCCAGCTGGACATGGGCCCCACCGACCCCGCCATCTCCACGGCCATGGATGTCATCAACTCTTGGGCGCTTTTCCTGGCCACCTCAAACGTCGAACGGAAGCTCATCGAGTTGACATGGGCTCGCATCGTGAGTGATTTTTCGGCCAGACCGCAGCACACCTGGGCTCGCCATGTCTGGGGCATGTGTTCCGCTACTGTCTGTCTTCCGTTGCGTTAATCCTGGGAGCCCCGAGGCCCTTGGAGATGGGTCAGCCCAGATGGCATTGAGTTTTTCGCCCCGCCTGAGAAGCACACGGTTCGGGACCTTGACTTCTCTGATTTGAAACACGTTTTTGCCCTGTCTATCCAGCGGTCACTTTGGACCGCGGCCGCTGAGGAGTATCTTGGGCGGGGTCTGGACCAAGGGATTCCTGACCTGGGACCCTTGAGGAAGTTCTTGAGGAGCCTCAAGCGGAAGGGAGAGTTCGTTCTCTTTGGGATCCACCAGGCCATCGCCACAGGAAATCTGCGGCCTGCGCAGCGCGTGCAAGAGTGTTTTCCTGAGGCTGACCCCATTTGTCCCAGATGCAAAGAGGTTCCCGAGACCCCACGGCACGTTCACTGGGAGTGTCCCTGTAATGTTTCTTTAGAGGGCGTGGCCCCGAGAGCGGTCATTGACCGCGCGCTTCACGACTGCGAGGTCTTACCCTGTTTCTGGCACCGCGGCATCGTGCCAGGCGCTTGGGTTGAAGTGGACCCCCCCCCCCCCCCAGAGATGACCCCCCTCTCCTCGACCTCTCTCTCTCGACCTCTGAGGCGGAGTTTCGGAGTGGGGTGGTGTTCGGAGCTGGTGATGCCAGCGGGGGGGTCCACTCAGCCGACCCACGTTTGCGCCGCATTGGGTGGTCTACCCTTAGTTTCCCTGACGGCGCTCACCTTGCACGCGAACCGATCACAGAGTCACATTCTTGGGGAGGCCCGTTAGAGCTCAAACAGTCTGTCAACAGGGGAGAGCTCAGGGCTTTCACCACCTTCTTACAGGCTACTCAGACCCTCTCAGCTCATGTACAGAGGCATTTCGTGACTGACAGTGCTTACGTGATTCGAGGTTTTGCCGCCATTGCCCGCGGGGAGTTTCCCACGACCAACGTTTCGGATTGGTTGCATTTCCACGAGGTGTACAGAAATTCCTCGGGGCCTGACGCGCGGCTATTCAAGGTTGAATCTCACCCGTCGCAGGCCGAAGCCCTGGAGCAAGGTTTTCCTCTCGCCCATTTTTTTGCCAACCAGCGCGCGGATGTGAAGGCTGAGAGTTTTGCCGAGGAGGCCCAGCTTCCGCACGCGCAGGTGGCCAGGATCCAGTTAGTTGATAAGGTCGCGGCGGCTGTCAGGAAACATTCGGCGACTGTTCTCCTCGATTGTGCCTCCCACCGCTCTCCTCCCCCGCCGCGGCCTAAGGTTGAACGTCCAAAGCTCTCCAAGCCCGAGCGCGACGCTCTGAAGCTAAGTCGAGCCCTCAGTCGCACTGAGCACCAGATTCCGAACCCTCATAGGTCGTTTTGGCAATGCTCAGTGTGTGGTGGACGTACTGCACGCAAGTTTGCGTTAGAGTTTCTAAACACCCAGTGCCAAGGAAGGTCTTCGAGAGTCCTTGAGCCTACGGTGTTCTGTGGGCGGGAGATTCACCCGTCCCACAAGCTTCAGAATGGTGTTCAAGGGATTGTTTTTTGTTCTTCGTGTGGCCTATATGGGAGGTTTCGGGTCCGCTCTGATGGACTTGGGAAGCCGTGTAGGCCCATGTCGAGGAGAGGTCGGAAAAACTTGCCGGCTCTCCTCCTTGGCATGCTCCCTCAGCAACGGGCAAAGACTGCTCGTGCCGTTTTCGCCACCAAGAGGTCCTTCTAACCCTCCAAGGTGGCGGATTTGGGAGCTCGAGGGTCTCTCCGTTTGAGGGGCCCCATTCTGCCGCCCATGGATTGGGTGGCTCCTTTCGGCGCACCGCCGCTCCCGCCTCTGCGCTTTCGCGCTTCTCCAGGGAGAAAAAAAGAAAAAAAAAAAAAAAAACAAAAAAAAAACTCCTGGAGGCCGCTTGCGCCGTCTTGGAGGGCCATCTTGAGGCCGACTTGGGGCGTCTTGGGTACATCTTGGGCAGTCTTGGGTGCATCTTGGGGCCATCTTGGGCTCTCTTGGGGCCATCTGGCCGTCTTGGAGGCATCTTGAGGACCATCTCGGGCGGTCTTGGGACCATCCTGGGAGGATTATTTCTACGCGTTGAGGTGCCTGTGCGTCTTTCCAGGTAGCCCGCGGGATCAGCCGAAGCCCCGGGAGGAGTTTTAAAGAGAATCGAAACAATCAAAAGTTCAGTATCTGTGATAAATCAATTTGGGGGTGGCGGATGACGGAAAGCGCGCGTTAGCGCGCGGTCCGTTAGTCGGAAGAAATTGGACTTGGGAGAGTTCGAGGGGGTGGCATCGCCAAGCCCGGATGACGGAAAGTGCGCGTTAGCGCGCGGTCCGTTAGTCGGAAGAAATTGGACTTGGGGGAGTTCGAGGGGGTTGGCATCCGCGGACCCGGATGACGGAAAGCGCGCGTTAGCGTGCGGTCCGTTAGTCGGAAGAAATTGGACTTGGGGGAGTTCGACGGGGTCGGCATCGCGGGGCCCGAGATCGAATTGCCCCCCCGCTTCGCTTTTTATCGAGTAAGACGGCCTTCGGCGCTTAAAAACAGCGTTTCGCTCGAGGCATCATCGGATAACGCTTCTTGGGCGCTTCTTGGGCCGTCTTAGGCGCCTAAGACAGCCCAAGAAGCGCCCAAGACGGCCCAAGAGCGTTCCTCCGTAGCCATTTTGGCTCAAGCTACTTTGGGTTTGGCTCAGGCCACTTCGGCTTTCGAGGATTTAACGGTTGTTCATATGCAATTCGTTGCGTTTTTGGCCTGCTTGGCGCTCGAATGCGCTGTAGCCTTGCGCTTGGCAACAACTGTAGTGGAGCAGGCTCCACAGACGTGCGTATTCCACAGGACATTTGATAGACTTCAGCAGGATGCAGACTTCGGAATCAATGCGGATCCCGATATTACGATGGAAATGTGTACTCATAATGACGTAGTGGATGTATTATATCATAGGTGCGTAGCGGACCTCAACGAGTCTAGACACAATGATTTGAATATTGAAGGATTACCATTTTGCAATGGGGAAGTTGGTGTCCACTACGCATGCAAAAAGGCTGGCGCTCCCGATCGCGACAGGCTGACGTCAACGTGCGATCCAGTAGTAGCTCTTCGAAAAAACAACGGGTATGGATGTTGTAATGGTGAATTCGACGACAATTGCCAAGCAACTACTTGCACATGCGCTAAACAAGCTTTTGTTTACAAGGACTTGCCCAGAGACTTAGTGAGCCCCCAGTATGTTAGCTCACTTCTCGCGAAAGCTAAAATGCAGAAGCTTTTGTTTATAGGGGACTCCACAACTCGCCGTCTATGTTATGCGTTCTGCGCTTACTTCGGAGGCAATGTTTTCTGGGACAGGCATGGAAAGTATCATGGTGACATCGCTTGTCCTGAAGATGGGTTTAGTGATCAAGGAGTTGCTGATGCACCAAGTATAGAAGAAATGGCATTGCGCCGAAAGTTTGAAGCAGATACAGATATCATCATTACATCAAATTATCATTGGGATCGAGTCTTCAATGCCGGCCATATTCGGACATTTCCACAACGCCTTGTTGACTGGGGCACGAGCGTTGCCAGTGAACATCCTCACGCACATGTTGTTCTTGTTGGCGCAAATCTTCTTAGTGGGGCCGACAAACAACACATCAATAAGGACATCATTGATTGTTTCGAACAAATCAATGCCATTGCCCCGAGCCGCCATCGTTTGATCACAGTCGACAATCAATGGATGCAGAGTGAAGTGGGAAGCGCGTTTCGCGATCCTTGCCTTGGAGATACCGAGGGCTCCATCCAT